CTCAGGAATTGAGTACAAAGATGACTGCAGGCCTGTTAAAAATCATAGGAAAGGCCGGGCACAGTGGCTCACGCCTGTAACCCCAGCACTTTGGGAGGCCGAAGTGGGCGGCTCATGAGGTTAGGAGTTCGAGACCTGCCCAGCCAATATGGTGAAAACCCGTCTCTACAAAAAATACAAAAATAAGCCGGGCATGGTGGCGCATGCCTGTAGTCCCAGTTACTCGGGAGGCTGAGGCAGAAGAATCTCTTGAACCCAGGAGGCAGAGGTTGCAGTGAGCCGAGGTCACGCCACTGCACTCCATCCTGGGTGACAGAGCGAGATTCCGTCTCAAAAAAAAAAATCATACGAAAGCATTTTTCAAAAAGCTCATTTAAGGGTCATGTAGAAGGTAATTTTGTTATGGATTAGGGCTTAGCTTCTTTAAAATTGAAGGTTAACTGGTGGATGTGAGATAAGTAGCAAGAGATTTCTGTTCAGTAGAAAAGATAACCTCAAAGGTTATGGTTTTCTTCCCCTCTGTGATATTAACTGTTTGGTATCTAACTTTGAATCTTACTCTAGTTTCCATGAGGAGCTCATCTCAGTTTCTTGTATCCTCCTATAACCCAGCTGTATCATCGTGCTGCTATCCTCATTAATGAGTGGGCACAGGCTCACTATATATTTATATATGTGTGAGGTTTTGGAACTGTTTGAAAATGATTCCCAGAAACGAGGGAGAATTGATGGTTTCCTATTTTGGTTCTGCTTTCCCTGGAAGAGGAGAGGTTCCTACCATGGGTACTTGGCTTGAGCTGCCCTCTTGGGGCATCTGACTTCTCATTGGTCACCAGGATATCTGAGGCTTCACATGGTCCCGGGAAGGATGTGCCGTCAGCAGTGAGTGATGGTTCCAAGGATCCCCCCCTGCTCTGAGGCCAAAGGACCCTCATTCTACTTCCGGCTCCAGTCGCTGCCCTGCCTGGTCCTTGTGCTGCAGGCTTTACATTTTATCATTCCAGGAACTGGGCCTCACCACCGCCAACCCCTCCATGGCACATCTGCTTTCTGTCTGCCCAGAACAGAGTTTCTACCCAGCCGCCTGCAAAAATATCTCAAGGCATAGCGTGCACTGAGGTGAGGAGGGACAGCTGGTTCTACTTGAAATTGGGAAGTGGTCTCCCCACAGGTAATCCCCTCCCCCAACCCCACAACTCCCTTATCCTTTTCAAAATAAAAAAAGAATCATTTCAGTCTTGGGTAGAAACCCAAGGCCCTGCCAAGACATTTGCATTTTAAATTCTTTCTCTGAGCATTGTAGAAAGGAAGAAAAGAAGCTCAGAAGACATCCAAGTCTGTTTGTTTTGGGGGACAGTGGGAGGGAATGAGGGAGGGAATGAAGGAGTGTGACCTTAAACTGGTTTGTTCCTTTAGGGTTTGTTCCTTTAACTGGTTTGTTCCTTTCCTTGGGAAGCTGGGTTGGCAGACCCACCTTTTACCTTCCAGAGTCCAGCGTCTCCTAAGGGTCTTCCTGGCGTCCTAAATCTCCACCCAAGTCTCTACCACAAGGTGAGGACCTGGTTGTAGGTAGACTTGGGGGTTGGCCATTCCTAGCTGTACCTGCTCTGCTCTTTGTAACGACAGACAACAGCAGATGGCTGACTGACTGGGGACATGCAGATCAGCTGATTGGACGAGGCACAGACAGGTCAGCTGACTGCGTAGGGCACAGACAGATCAGGTAACTGGTTGGGTTAGGCAAGTTACGAACCCTTCCAAAGAAATGTACAAGCCAGTCTTGAGTTTCTAGGGTCCATAAGTTGTTGGGGAATAAGATTTGGTACTTCCATTCTGTGTGTGTTTAATGTGTAAGGTGAGAATGAAACACTGCCAGTACTAAACCTGGTCTGGTGCATGTGTCCATTAGCAAGAGAGAAAATAATGAGATTATAACATACTTAGTACTGGGAGGACTGCTTTTTCGCTCGACTAGTTACTCAACATCTTTTGAGCTCAGTAACTATTTCTACAATATCGTTTTTAATAATTGAATAACATTTCACCAAATGACTTTGCCACAGGGTACTCAACCATGTTCAATATTTAGGTTTTTTAGCATTGGTTGATTATTAGCAAGAATGCATTGATGAACATCTTTGTAGCTGAATCTTTATACATCCATAGGGATTCATCAGGATAAAATTCAGGAATAGAATTGCTGGGTGAAAGGATATTTTTTCTGATTCCTTAGCAAACACAGCCCCCCATTCCTCACCAGCGCTGGCATTTTTGTTCTTTCTTTTTTATTTTTGCCAATTTGATAGGGGGAAAAAGAGTTTTGCTCTTTAGTTTTGCATTTTCTGTATGAGTGGTGAGGGTGAATATTTTGAGGGGGTTCTTTTTTGATGTAATTGAATCATATTTATTCATATTTCCATAAGTGTGCTTGCCTATTTTTTAATGGACTCAAAAAAAAAACACTCTTCATGGGTTTGATATATTAATTTTTTTTTTTTTTTAGACGGAGTCTCGCTGTGTCACCTGGCTGGAATGCAGTGGCACAATCTCAGCTCACTGCAACCTCTGCCTCCCGGATTCAAGCAATTCTCTGCCTCAGCCTCCCGAGTAGCTGGGAATACAGGTGTACACCACCACACCCAGCTAATTTTTGTATTTTCAGTAGAGACGGGGTTTCACCATGTTGGCCAGGATGGCCTTGATCTCCAGACCTCATGATCCACCCACCTCGGCCTGCCAAAGTACTGGGATTACAGGTCTGAGCCACAGCACCCAGCCTGATATATTAATTTTTATCGCAAATATTTTTCTCAGTTTGTCATTTACCTTTCACTCAAAGTGGGCTTGCCATATGAAAAGCTTTAAATTTTTTGCTTTCCTATCTGTTAGTCTTTTCCTTTATAATTTTTGCCCTGGGGAATATGTTTGGCAGTTCTTCTCCACTCCAGGCTCATACAACCTATTTTTCTTCTGTAGTTTTTGTGGTCTTGTCTTCTACACCTAAACCGCTAATGTATCTAAAAGTTATTTTTATGTTTGAGTTAGAACTCTTAATTTTATTTTTTAGATAGAATTCTTTTTTTTTTTTTTTGAGACAGAGTTTTGCTCTTGTTGCCCAGGCTGGAGTGCAATGGCACAATCTGGGAGGCACTTGAACCTCTGCCTCCTGGGTTCTCCTGCCTCAGCCTCCTGAGTAGCTGGGATTACAGGATCATGCCACAAAGCCCAGCTAATTTTCTACTGTTAGTAGAGATGGGGTTTCACCATGTTGGCCAGGCTGGTCTCGAACTCCTGACCTCAGGTGATCTGCCCGCCTCGGCCTCCCAAAGTGCTGGGATTACAGGTGTGAGCCACTGCACCTGGCCTGTTTAGATAGTTTTCTCACTCAATTTTTTTTATGGTCTACCAATTATCCTGATATCATTTATGAAATGACTGATTTTTTCATCAGTAATTTGAGGATGCTACTTTATCATATAATATAATTTTGTATATTTAATCTGTTTCTAGATATTACATTTTCTTCCATTACCTACCTATTCTTATACCCATAGTGTACTATTTTAATAACTATAGCCCTATAATACCTTCAAAAAATGGAAATATTTCCTTCTTACTCTCCTTTAAAAATACATGAATGAATATATACTAAGTGCATAAATAAATCTTTCAAATAGATTTTATTTATTTTCTTTATTTTATTTATATATAAATTTATTCATATGTAAAACATTTATATATTATTTTTTATTTACATATATTTTATAAATTTTAAAAATATCTTGTTATTTCGATTGTGGTTATGTTTATTTTCCTAACACCTGGTCTCGTTACAATATCGATTCAACCCAGCAATACGATTCTTCAATTATTCATTCTTCAGCAAAGTTTGTTTTCTCTATATAGGTTATTAAAATTTTATTTTTTATTTTTTATTGCTATTGTAAATTTTTTAAAATTATGTTTTCTTCCTGGTTAATGCTGGTTTATAAAAAAGCTCTTAGCTACCTGTTTTCTAGTTCTGACAGTTCTTCGTTCAGGGGATTCTCTCAGTCTTGACAGAAAACCAATTGTTTGAGCTCCAACTAATTAAAATTTCTCATCTTCAGAAGAGAAAGCATTCTTTATTTTTGTCTTTTTGCATAGGCAAAATACTGATAAGCCAAAAGAGGAAGATTATTGGCTCTAAAGAAGATGCCTCTAGTATTTTACCCTGGGCTGTTGCCATATTAAAAGCACTTCTAGAGTAATCGTTTCCATATATTGAGGGGTTTTGAATATCAGGAATGGTGATGAATTTTATGAAATATTTTAGAGGCATCTATTGAGGTGCTTTTGTGAATTTATTCCTTTGAGTACTGATTCACTGAGCCACTTCTCAGTAAATCACACTTGATAATGTTTTCTCCTGCACTATCATAGCTTCCTTAGACCTGATTTTCATGTTTATGACAGCACCTGCAATTTCTGAGCTCCTACTTTTCAGACCCCACACATGAAAACTGAGTCCCGGGTCTTGTCCACACTTGTCACAGTGGCCATCATTCCTAGCACCAGCCACCTTCCCCGACCCAAACTGCATCAACCCACACACGGAATTACTTACTTGTTCCTGGGGCACAGAGAACATGCAAAGGCCTCTTGTCAGCATCCTGGGGGCTTCTCTGTCTGACCTGGGCAGCCTTGGAGACCCCTTGACTAACCAGATCAGAGGCACAGGCCAAGGGCTGGGGTCTCCTTGCCTTGAGTGCTCGCTCCTGCTTCCCCTAAGAATCCCTCCTCGAGTTACCTCCCTTGTTTACTTTCATCTTGTGTGGATTCAACCATCAGATGCTTGATGGTGCTGTGAAGAGGAGACTCCATGGTTGTGAACCAAGGCATGGGCAGAGATGAACCAAAGGATGCAAGGTAAGGAGGGTCACAAAGAACAGTTTCAGAGGAGGTGGAAGCATTCTGACCTTGTGAATCCTGCCCCCCGTGCCAGCTGCCTCAATGCTTACCTGGGGCCTTGAGTTCAGCATCAATGAAGGTGAGCAGCTCCTGGCAGATGCTGCAGTAAGGAACAGGCCAGGTCAGGAACCGGTGGTAGGTGCTGGCTGCCTTCAGAAGAAGATCCGAGTCTGGTGGGAAGTGTGGTGTCTAGGATGGAGGCAGGCAACAAGCAAAGAGATCTAGGTGAGAAAAGGCTCAGATAGTCCCAAACAGCCTCTGCTCCCTTTCTGGAATATTCCACAAAAGACACACATTTCCTGGCAGCAGTGTGTCCCAGGACAAGGTCAGGTGGAACTGGAAGTTACCCACAGGGAGCGAGTTTCAGATGGGCAAGATGGCACCCGGGGTGTCTCTACTGGAAGGGACTTGCTTTACCCAATGCTTGAGTGAGCCTCTCTGAAAGGCTGTCCCCTTACTGGTCAATGGTGCCATTGCTGACCATTGTTATGGATAATGGTCTTCAATGCCTAAACCCCCTTTACTTAAACAGCCTCATTACAGGTAAATGTTTATTTTTTGAGGGTGGATTCAATGGTCTTCAATGTTATGTTATGGATAACAGTCTTCAATGCCTAAACCACCTTTATTTAAATAGTCTCATTACAGGTAAATGTTTATTTTTTGAGGGTGGATTCAGTGGTCTTCAGTGTTATGTTATGGATAACGGTCTTCAATGCCTAAACCACCTTTATTTAATTAGTCTTATTACAGGTAAATGTTTATTTTTTGAGGGTGGATTCAGTGGTCTTCAATGTTATGTTATGGATAACGGTCTTCAATGCCTAAACCATCTTTACTTAAATAGCCTCATTACAGGTAAATGTTTATTTTTTAGGATGGATTCAGTCAGTGTATACATTTGGTGCCCCCTGTCTGGTGAATACAGCAGGTGATCACATTGGGTGACCGACCACTGGGGTGAAGAATGAGGTGGACATAGAATATCTCTTGTGGCTTGTGAACAGACAGTGGCAGCAGTTCCTCCATGGGAGCCCAGAGATGCCAGGCACTATGGCGGCCACATGGAGTCACAGGAAGCCTTTCATGGTGGCTGCTCTGAAGCCATCTAAAGGTTGAAACCCATTTCACATGCCGCTGCTTGACAGTTTCTCTCTCTGCTTATCTCCAGAGGTGTGAGGTCTGCGCCCCAGAGAGAGGTCACTCCTCCCCCTCCTCCCTCACCTCCCGCATCCTGGCCCACCTGGACTTACACAAAGAACAGTGGAATAGAAGAGCAGGGCCAGGGGGGTGAGCAGGTCGTAGGTGCCCTTCTCCTGGACCTGTGGAGAGGACGAGAAAGGGAATGAGACTCATTCACGGGGTCCAGGGCTCCCTGAAGCGGAATACAGTGGTTCTTCCTCATTCTAGCCTTGCTTTTTTTTTTTAAGTGAAAAGTAGTGTAATCACATGACAAATATTTGGAAAATAGACGTAAACAAAAACACTCACAATTTCCCCTCCCAAACCCAACCACAGCTGTTTGAATGTCCCTCTCCTGACACCATTTTTGCCCTGTGTATTTTCTTTTCTTTTAAATTTTATTTTAAGTTCTGGGATACATGTGCAGAACGTGCAGGTTTGTTACATAGGTATATGTGTGCCATGGTGGTTGGCTGCACCCAACAACCCATCATCTAGGTTTTAAGCCCTGCATGCATTAGGTATTTGTCCTAACGCTCTCCCTCCCCTTGTCCCCCAACCTCCAACAGGCCCCGGTGTGTGATGTTCCCCTCCCTGTGTCCATGTGTTCTCATTGTCCAAATCCCACTTATGAGTGAGAACATGTGGTGTTTGGTTTTCTGTTCCTGTGTCTGCGAAGCTATAAGCTGTGTGTATATTTTTACTCCTAATGTATTTTACATATAGTATTATAAGTAAATTTCTGTTTTACTATAGGGTCTCTAAGACCCCCTTTTTTCCCTTCTTGTTATACATTTACCTGTTATTTGTGTTATAAATATTTTTTTTTGCAGTTGGTTGTTTGCCTTTTGATTTTATAAATATTTTTCATGTACAGAAATTACAGGTGTCGATTTTTCCTTCATGGATTTTCGCTTTTGCATGCAAGGATCATGTAAATATTCATATATACTTTCTTATTTTCTTTGAAACTTCTTTTCTGAAATGGAAATATTTAGGCTGGGCGCAGTGGCTCATGCCTGTAATCTCAACACTTTCGGAGGCCGAGGCAGGTGGATCACTTGAGGCCAGGAGTTCAAGACCAACCTGACCAACATGGTGAAACCCCGTCTCTACTAAAAATACAAAAATTAGTCAGGCGTGGTGGCGCACGCCTGTAATCCCAACTACTCAGGAGGCTGAGACTCTGCCTCAAAAAAAAAAGGAGACATATTTCATGTAACTAGAATTTCACCTGCTGTATGGTGTCAGTTGGGGATCTCACTCTATCTTTTTCCAAATGTTTAGTCAATTTTCCCTAAACCATTTAATAAATCTTACTGATGTAATTGTATCATATATTAAATTTTGTTTATGCCCTTGGATAATATCCATCATTTTTAGCTGCATTATACTCCTTGTGGTAGACCTCCATAACTTATTAGTTTCTTAGTTTCTTTTTTTTTTTTTTTTTTGAGATGGAGTCTCGCTCTGTCGCCAGGCTGGAATGTAGTGATGCAGTATTGGCTCACTGCAACCTCTGCCTCCTGGGTTCAACCAATTCTCGTGCCTCAGCCTCCCAAATAGCTGGGATTACAGGCACACACCACCAAGCCCAGCTAATTTTTGTATTTTTTTTAGTAGAGATGGGGTTTCACCATGTTGTCCAGGATGGTCTTGATCTCTGGACTTCATGATCTGCCCACCTTGGCTTCCCAATGTACTGGGATTACAGGCGTGAGCCACCGTGCCCGGCATCTTATTAGTTTCATTGTGGACATTCAAGATTATTGTCTTGGTATTTTACATATTTTGCAATGAACACTATTATGCAGCACATTGCTTTTTCTATAATTTTGGTTATTTATCTAGAAAAGAGTTCAAGAAGTGTAGTCAACAAAGATTGTCAACATGTTTATAGACTTTTATGACCTTTGAGACATACTGTCATATTGCTTTCCAAAAGGATTTTGCCATTTATGCTATCTATATATATAAAAGTGCCAGTTTCACCATGCTCTTCCTGCATTGGTTTTTATCTTTTTTTTTTTAACAGAGAGAGAGAGAGAGAGAGAGAGAGAAATAGGGTATTGCACAGGCTGGAGTGCAGTGGTACGATCTTGGCTCAATGCAGCCTTGACCTCCTGGGCTCAAGCAATCCTGCCTTAGCCTCCCAAGTAGCTGAGATTACAGGTGCACACCACCACAACCGGCTAGTTTTTGTATTTTTTTGTAGAGACGAGGTCTTGCTATGTTGCCCAGGCTGGTCTTGAACTCCTGGGCTCAAGCATTTCTCCCACCTGAGTCTCTCAAAGTGCTTGGATTACAGGCACAAGCCACTGTACCTGGCCTTACCTTTTGTTTTTTAGCGAATTTGTTAGGCAAAGTTTGTCTCATTATGGTTTTCATTTGCATGCATTTTATTATCGCTTTTTCATATTAGTTTACAACTTCTATTTATCCCTTTGTGAACTGCCTCTCTGATACACCTACCACACCTAACACACCATATGCACACATGTGCACACCACACGATTTAGAATTCATTGGTCAGAAGGTTTCTCAGTCCATTTTGGAACTCGTGGGGGTTGGAGATACAGAGAAAGCCCCATCACGCCTTCTGTGCTAGATGAGCTCAGTAGGCTTAAATTGAGACTTCTCCTTTTCTTTACCCTTAATAGACAATGTGTCTACCAAGCCTTGCAGATCAGACCTTCCTATGAAACCCTTCTGTATTGCTACATGGTGGTCTAGACTTTCCATGTGGGTTTATATGTTATGCACTCCAGAGGCGGTTCAGCTCTTCTGAGCTGGTTGGCTTATGATGAGGGTTAAAAAGTACCAGGTAAATAGTGGGGTCAGAACTGTGTAACCTTGGGCATCTTCTTACAGGGATAGGTAACTGAGAGTGAAAGTGACATGTTTTCCAAATCACATGTATTTAAAATAATTAAAACACACACACACACACACACACACACACACACACACACACACACACCATAAAAGAGAATTCTTTATAAAAGAGAATTCTTTATACAAATCCTCTTCCGGGACTCACAGCTATTCTGGAACCCAAGCCCAGCTCAGCACTAAACACATTCCTCTTCTTTGTCATGAAAGCCATTGATTGAACAATGAGAGGAGGCCTCAGTTTACCTTTCCGATCAGTTTTCTCTTTCGTGTCTTTGTTTTTATGGATCTTTTTGAGGAAAGGAATTGGGTAAACTGTCTTCTCTCTCCCTAGTCAATACTTGGACTTACCAGCCATGTCTGTAGCTGAACTCAGGACCCTAGCTCGCGTATTATGTGTTCTTATGGAATGCACCCCTTCCTAGAAACCCCTCACATGCAAGCACTACCGAAACACAAAACTCACAGGTTCCCGGGGCCTTTGCCAAGCCCCTCTGGAGGTCCAGGCACCCAGGAATGATGTTCTCTGGGACCCATTTCTCCACTCTACAAGGCCGACCCCAGCTCTGCCCTTCAGCTCCTGACTCGCCCTCACCTCTCGCGTCTTCTGCAGGATCTGCTCAAGGAGGATAAGGAAGTGGCCCGGGTCTCTGCTGACCAGCTCCTGCAGGCTCCAGCAGTTCAGACACAGCCCAGCTTGAAAAGGAGAGAGAGGCAAGGGGATCAGTTCTGGTGTCTTCCAGCCACACTCAATTAGGTGTTGTAGAGAAGGGGCATTTATGCTGGAACATTCTTCTGCGGAATTGCACCGGAACACTCCTTTTTTTTTTTTTCTTTTTTTTTTTTTTGAGACAGAGTCTTGCTCTATCGCCCAGGTTGGAGTGCAGCGGCGCAATCTCAGTTCACTGCAACCTCCGCCTCCCGGGTTCAAGTGATTCCCCTGCCTCAGCCTCCCAAGTAGCTGGGATTACAGGCATGCGCAACCACGCCCGATTAATTTTTGTATTTTAGTAGAGACGGAGTTTCAACATGTTGGCCAAGATGGTCTCAATCTCCTGACCTTGTGATCCGCCCGCCTCAGCCTCCCAAAGTGCTAGGATTATAGGCATGAGCCTGGAACACTCCTTTCTAAAGTAAGTGAATCTAGGAGAAGATGCTGGATCAACATTCAACCCTACCATGCCCCATCAAGACATAATGACAAGTTCCCTGTTCCTGCATATGCAAGAGACACAGGGATTGGAGATGTGGGCTGGGATCCACGTTGGAGGATAATGAGCTCACCACGACTCTGTTCCCTGTGGGAGTACCAGTTCTTCCACAACCTCCTCTGCCCTGGTTTCCTACAGTGGGTTCTGGTACCTATGAGTTGCAGGGAGGTTAGAACAGAGGCAGAAATTGCTGGAAGAATACAGAGAGGAGCCACGGTGAGTTCCGTCCCAAGACACAAGACTGAGTCTACAGCAGCCGTGGAGCTTCCCAGGAGTGGCAATGGAGCCCAGGAAGGGGAAGCTAAATAAGTTCTATTTTAAAAGCTGCCATGAGCACTGTGTCACTCTGTAACTTCCCCAGACTTTCTTATTTTGTCAATCTCTGTTTCCCTGCAGTCAGCAAGGGTAAACCCCTAAAAATTAAAGGGACGGCCCGGGGCGGAAGAGCAGGGAGGGGCTGTGTGTATGTGTGTGTGGGGTGGGGAGTGAGAGCCCCAGGAGTGGAAATGGATTGAACTTGAACTTCGTGGAGCTCAGGCTCCAGGACCTCTCACGTGTACAGGCTCCCTCCAAAGTTCTGGAGGCTTCTAATAATGTGTCCATGTGGTCACAGGTTGTCAGATAATTTGCAAAGATCAGATATTTTTATATTCTTTTGCTTAATGGTATCCCTCTCCCCAGCCCTATGAGCTTAGCCTCCATCAAAACCTGGGTAGGAGGCAAGAAAGAAAACTACCATTTATTGACCACCTACCATGTGCCAATACAGTGCTAGGCCTCTGAATACATTATCTTCATTGAGGCTCCCACTGTCCCTTCAGGAAAGTGGTTCCATTGTTATTATTCCCATTTTGCAGACAAGGCAAGTAGGGCCAGGGTTCTGGGAGGGTGAGTGGCTTGCGTAGGGTTGATAGCTTTAATGGGAGATAGCTTTAATCCAGGTCTGTCTCATTCCAAAAGCCAAGGACAGCCTCTCAGAGGAAGAGACATTTGAGCTGAGACCTGGATGAGAAGGAGCCAGCTATGTGCAGTTCCCAGGGAAGAACTGCAGGCAGCAGGTGCAAAGGTGCTGGGGTAGGGAGGAACCAGGTATGTTCAAGGAGCACTGGGTGGCTACTCACGGAGAAGTTAGGGAGGCCAGTGAGATACGGAGCATGAAAAAGCTCTACAAGCATAAGGAATTATTTACAGCCAGGCGCCAGCCTTCAGAGACACAACTGCCCGGGACTGCAGACATCCTATTTCTCAGACCTGGGAGATGGGAAACACAGAGCCCTCCTGCTCTCCGCAGCTCTACTGAGTTTTCCCTTATTCTACAGGGAAGAGAAGGATAGGGCTATGAGGGAACCAGAAACAAACCAACGAGAGAATTCTGGGGAGAGCTGCCTGTGGATTCTCAGCTGCTTTTTCAGAATCAGCAGTTGTGGTTTTCTAAGCAGATTCAATAGATTCTTCCAGAAGCAAAAGGCAGCCCTGAGTAGGATGAGGAAGATGCCATGGGAGAAGGGAGAAAGTGCCGGATACTGAGGTTTGACGACATCAAGTGTTGTGCTGGGCACCTGCCCAGGTGAAGCCTGGGGCTTGCCCAAGTCACACAGACAGGGTTTGACCTAGAATCTACCAGCTTCCATGCCTGGTCCAGAGCCCACTGTGGCCCCTGAGGCTTCCTTGAGCCCTCAAACGCCTCCCGGGCTCCCTCAGACCTACCTGACCAGGAGGTGGAGCGGCGGCCGAGGCTGAGTCCGTGCAGGCAGCGTTCCAGGGCATGCTGGATGCGGTCCTCTGTGCATGTCGTGGCCCCTGGCTGCATCCTGGGTCATTGCCTGCATGGGGCACAGACACCGGTCAACTTGTCGAGTTCCTTTCCCAGAGAGCACCTGGTCCAGTAAAGACAAGGGGCGCTCACAGTGCAGCGCGATCAGCCCAGCCCAACTACAGATCAGGTGCTGTGGGAACAGCACCAGGGGCCTTACAGCTGCCTCCAGGGTAGGAACGGCGTCTGGAGGGCCACATCTGAGTGGCAGGACAGAGCACCCCTGCAGCAGAACAGGACAGAGGTGTGGGAAATAAGGGGTCAGGGATGGGAGCAGAGAAGTAGAAAGGGATCTGCCTTCCACACTGGGCAGTGGGGAGTGTCACCAAGTGCCCAGGGACTGGTCAGACCCCAATGGGCTGGGCAGGAAGACCCTGAGGGGAAAATCAGAATCACTTGGAGGACTTTTTCTGAATTTCCAGGGCTGTGTTTTCCAGACCTCCAGGGATGGGGCAGGAGCGTGTTCCTGATGAGAAGGCCACAGGAACTCCCTCAATATGCTTGGAGGGAGCTCCCTCTGATTGGGTGCCCAGGTCACAGGCACCTGTTTCCTTTCTGCCCTAACCTCCACTTTTGCCATTTTTCTTTCCTTCCCCTGGGGCTTGGCAATGTTACCTGTCATTCAAAGACCTACCCTGCCCTCCTTCCTCATCCTACTGAGGAGAATCCAAGGGGTGGTTAGCTGAGCTGGAAAGTCACTGAAGTGGGAATTTCAGGAGGGTTTTAGCCCCGTATGGGGAACTGAGAGCCCCCAGCAAGGCCAGCCCAGCTTCTTAGTTATGTATGAGGGCTCCCGGGTCTCTGGGGAAGCCACGGAAGGTGATTTGGCACAGTGAGCAAGCCTGGCTCCGGCATCCAACAGACTTACACTCAAACCTGGACTCTGATATTTGCTTAACCATGTGACTTTGGGCAAATACTTTAACTTTTCCAAACTTCCGTTGACGGATCTGTAAAATGGGATGACAGTGGTGCTAAAGCCTCATGGGGCTCTTGGGAAGATAAAATGCTGTGGCAGATGCGCTGAGTGAGCCTCCAACACGCGAGAGCTGTCCTGCTACAGTCATTGCCATCATCGCCCCTGGTCCCAGGGCATGTCTCTGCACTCACCCCTTCTGGGCAGACCCCTTCACTGGCCAGTCAGGCCAGGCCGTAGAGGGATGCCGAGAAAGCTGCAGTTCAGCTCTGGAAGCCAGACGAGGAAGCACAGAGCTCAGAGCTGAGCCATGCAAATGACATACAAAGAAGGATAAAATCCTAACCTGGGTTCAGCTGTGCGGCTGGAGTATTCAGCTTACAGAGGTCCCACACGGGCAAATCCTCCTGCTTCCCCAGCCTGGGAGGCACCACTGGCCGAGTGAAAACTAAGCCCTTTGTGAGCTCTCCAGCATCCTTTCACGGTGTCTGTGGTAGGCTATGCATGCCAAAGCCGGACGGTGCAGCAGCGGGCACACAGGAAGCGGCACACGCACCTTGGTTCCATCGCAGGTTCACTGATGGTCTGCCATGTGCCAGGCACTAGGGAGATAGCAGTGAACCAAGCAGCTGTGCTCCTTGGTGGGAGACACAGACCCTGAGCAATGGAACCAAGAAAGACGTGATTCCAGAAAGTGAAACGTACTGTAAAGGATAGTGCTGGGAGTGGGACAAGTGGGGACCCCGCTACAGGGTGTTGGGGGGTCAGAGAGGTCTCTCTGAAGAAGGGACATTTAAGCTGGATGAGGAAGCCAGGACAAGTGATGGGGAAGAGTGTTGGAGGAAGGGGAGCCAGCCCATGCCATGGTCTGGGTGCAGGAATTAGCTCGCTGAGGACCTGGACCCAGGAGCATAAGCCAGGGTGCTGGGCTGGCCCAGGAGACAGACTAACCCACTAGGTCCCATGCCTTCTGGCTGTGGAGGTGAAGAGCTGAGTTCAGAAAACCTTTCACGGGTGGCTGGGCGCGGTGGCTCATGCCTGTAATCCCAGCACTTTGGGAGGCCAAGGTGGGCGGATCACTTGAGGTCAGGATTTCGAAACCAGCCTGGCCAACACGTTGAAACCCCATCTCTACTAAAAAAGATTTTTAAAAATTAGCCAGGCGTGGTGGTGGGCACCTGTAATCCCAGTCACCCAGGAGGCTGAGGCAGGAGAATCGCTTGAACCGGGGAGGCGGAGGTTGCAGTAAGTCGATATCACGCCACTGCACCCTGGCTTGGGTGGCAGAGCGAGATTCCGTCTCAAAAAGAAAAAAAAAAAAGATAGAAAACCTTTCACTAGTGACTCAAGACCTTGGGTGTGTCCATTAGCAGCACCTGGATGCCCAGAGACATCCTGAGGCCCCTCCGTGTGACTTTTACAGTTGCCTTTGGGGCTTCTGTTAACACCTCCACAGGCAGCTCAGGTAGTGAGTCCACCGACCCTGAGCCAGACTGGGCAGACCCCGCCCTGACCTGGGATTGTGCTGCTACCTGGCATGGATGAGCATCTGTGGGGACTGACACCTGTGATGAAGGCTCATCTTTCTGCCTCCCGTGGCAGCCCGACCATAAGACTCTCTGGAGGTGGGTCCTATTCCAGCTCAGGGCTAACGGCACCCGCTGGAGGAGGTAGAACACCAGGCACCTTCACATGGATGAGCCTGGGGCATAAACGGCTGGCCCAGATGTCATCAACGACCCTTTGTCCTCAGGCTGAGATCTCCCAGGTTACCCCCCGGGCAGGTTCTTGGAGGGAGCTCAGAGACCTCATTTTACAGAAGGGGAGGCTGAGGTCCAGTAAGGATAAGGGGCTTGTTCAAGGCAGCTGGGAGAGAGTTGCCACTGGTATAAACAGACAAGGGGATCAGGGAGGACTTTTTATTTTCCAACTGTGGCTGAGACCCAATTCTAGGGACAAAAAGTACTAAATGCTCTGCATTCTAAAGTTCTAAGAGCCATGGGGTATTGTCAAGGATGTGGGCGCAACCACCCCGGTGGGCTTGCTGGGAGGTGTCAGTGCAGAACCAGCACAGTGATCCGCCAACCCCTGTTGTTATAAGATTGGGAAGAGAAAAAGGGTCTTCAACCATTCTGGAAGGTTCTTCCTTCTCTCCCCAAAGCTGAGGGCAGAGGGCTTTCAGAGAAGTCCTGACACAGACTGGGATGCCCAAAGGTGAGGGTGCTGCCCTTTGTTCCTCACTTGTCTGCTCCTGTGCTGCCTGTGAACCATGGCAGGGCTGAGACAAGGGGCAGAGGGGGCCATCTTGCAGACCCACTGTTGGACAAGTCAAAGACTTGAGCTCCAGATGGGAGTGAGAGGTGGAACAAAAGCGGGGCTTGAGCCTTTTGTTGTTACTTTTCTAGAGGGCTGCCAGCTAGGCGAGGGAAACCTATCAGAAGGAGGCTGAAGGCTGGACCAATTTTGCAGGAAGCTGGATGGGGCAGATTGAAGACAGGAAATTAGTGGCACAGAGAGGTTAAACAGCTTGCCTAAAGTCACACAGCTAGGAGATGGCAAAGCCAGGGTATAAACCCAGAGAGTCTGGGGTTTCAACCACTAGAATACATTGCCCCTCAGCACAGTCAGAGGCAGTTACAGGAAGAAAAATAACACCAATTCACGTCTCTATTTCAACAAGTGAAGACTTGATTTGCTTTAAGAGGTAGGCTGGGCATGTCTGTAATCCCAGTACTTTGGGAGGTTGAGGTGCGTGGATCACATGAGGTCAGGAGTTCGAGACCAGCCTGGCCAACATGGGGAAACCCTGTCTCTACTAAAAATACAAAAAATTAGCTGGGTGTGATGGTGCATACCTGTAATCACAGCTAATCGGGAGGCTGAGGCATGAGAATGGCTTGAACCCGGGAGGTGGAGGTTGCAGTGAGCCAAGATCGCACCAGCCTGGATGACAGAGCAAGACTCTGTCTCCAAAAAAAAGATCTAGACTCTCAATTGCTGGGGATTCTGAGCCCCGCCACGTCTATCTACACCAGGTGCCCCTCACAGCCCTGCATCCTCCAGAGAAAGGGCCGAGGCTCACAGGAGTATGTGCCAGAGGGGATACCGAGTAACACTCTCTCGGACTGCACCGGTGATGACTGTGGCAGCTCACAGGGCCCAGGCATCTCTAGCCTGGAGCATGGGCTGAACCATGTGATCGGGTTTTAAGACCCCTCTGCCCAGCCCCCGCGGCGATGGCCAAGCTGGTTATGCCATGAAGCAGGAGTGAGTCATCCTGCTCACTCATTACATGTCCCACACTGTAATGGATGCAAATGAACGTTCTCAGCCAACATCACTTCTGCACACTCCTGTCCTTAAGCGGGTAGAACACAGTGCCATGGGGCCGCTGCTAGCACACCCCGCCCAATGCCTGCCTGCCCATGGCTTCTCCTTCTCATCTTAGGGCCGCCTGTGACTTTCCCATCTCCTGGCCTCAGTGTGCCCCCTCCCTGCCCCACCCTGTTCAAGGGACACATCAAAGCCTTCTCCACGGAAGGGCAGGATATCCTCAGGCACTGGTGGAATTCTGGTGTGCCAGCCTCCCTGGCATTCCAAGGCTTTCTCAAGCTTGCCCCAAGTTCTTCTCAGAGGCAGGACTTGCCCGAGTCACTAGCCCCTGGGAGCCTGAGAGACGGGGAGAGGGAGGCCGGCCAGGGGACCCTCAGTCGTGCTGCCCTGGGGGTTAACCCAGCACACCGGGTTCACCACCCAGCCCTTTGAACGCTCATTTCCGTCTGAGTCAGTCATCAGCTGTTTCTTATGACTTGTCAGCAGAACCTCACGGGCTTTGGGGCAGAGGTGACAGGGGAAGGCAGTGGCACCCACTCTCCCAGCATGACACCTTTTTTCAAAAGCTGGGCAAGCAGGGCCTGGCTTCCCTGGCATTGCTCTCCCAAGCCCCCCCCCCCCCATCTTGTTGAGAAGAGCTCCCATTGTAAAATTCCAGCTGCTGCCGGGAATGCCCCCCGCCACCACCACCAATTCCCCTGCCAGTAGTGAGGTGGTGTTGAAACATCCAACAACGGGGCCTTCCCCCATATCCAAGTTCC